AAAATGATAGTTACAATATTTTCGATCGAAGGTAAAATTCAATCAAATCTAGTGCGTAAAAAGCGACCAAAAAGCATTTTTGCTGGACATTCTTGGGTCGTAGTGTGCGGTGTATTGCGGTATTGAAAAAGAAAAGTATCTAAAATAAGTTGTAAATCAATCACCCCATCCGCATATCCTTTGCGTAACGCTCTTTTTGCAATTTTGACGCCTGATTCGGCCAGTCCATTCGTTTCCGGATGATATGGAGCACCCGCTTTGTGAATGATCCAAAAACTTGACAACAAATTTTGGAATTCCTCGGACATAAAAGTCTGACCGTTATCGGTGGAAACTTCTTTTGGGAGACCAAAACGAGCAAATAGAGCTCTGAAGATTTTTATGGTTTGTGCAGAAGATATGTCTGAGACTATGAAACATTCTAGCCATTTTTAAGTGGCATCTTCGATTACTAAAAATGTTTTATTTAAAAATGGTCCGAAAAAGTCAGCGTGAACACGAGTCCATGGTTCTTTAGGAGTATACCACATAATTAAAGAAGGTTTCGCGGAGTTTTCCGAATAAAGTGCACATGTTTTGCATGAACGCGCGATTTTCTCGATAGAATTGTCGATTTTTGGCCACCAAACATATGAACGCGCCAAGGCTTTCATTTTAACGATTCCGGTATAAGTTAAATGTAATTCCCCCAAAATACTGCCATAGAAGGCTGAAGGCACAATTAGACGGTAACCCCACATTATACAACCATGTTCTACAGAAATTTCATGTTTTTTAAGAAAATAAGGTTTAAAATCTGTAGAGGGGCAAGTTTGTGGCCAACCGTTTCGAGCATAAAATAGAATTTTGCTCAAAACGACATCTTTTGAGGTTTGTTCTTTAATCTTTTGGAAATTAACTGGGAATTTTGAATTTTCGATGTAATTTAAATATGAAATTTGATCTTGTAATTTGATAGTAACGGATTGCTGGCATGGTGAAACATATTTTTAGTGTTTCCCCCTAACCGAGATAGGAAATCTGAGTAGTTTTGTTTGGTATTGACATACTTAATTTCGAAACGGAATGAAGATAGAATGTATGCCCATCTTTGTAGGCGGTTGGCTGCAAAAACTGGCAACCCTTTTTTGTCGCCCAGTATTGCCAAAAGAGGTTTATGATCTGTGTACAGTGTGAACTTGATGCCGTAAAGGTATTGGAAGAACTTTTTGACCCCGAATATTATTGCTAGAGCCTATTTTTCGAATTGGGAATAGGAGAGTTCGTTTTTATTTAGCAACCTTGAAGCGAACGCGATGGGTCGCTCAGTTCCGTCTGTGTAGGTATGACTAATTATTGCCCCTAGACCTATACTGCGGGCATCTACCAATAATTTGATTGATAATTTTGGGTCAAAATGGGCCAGCACAGATGGAGATACTAACATATCCTTGATTTTATCGAAGCTATTTTGGCAAGTCGGTGTCCATTCCCAAGTTATGTTTTTTTTTAATAAGCTGTATAAAGGATAAAGGATGGACGACGCGTTCGGTAAGAATTTAACGTAATAATTGACGCCCCCGAGAAATGACTTAAGTTCTGTGATATTGGAAGGTACCTTGGTTTTGACCACTGCTTCGACCCTCTCATCGGTTTTGTGCAAGCCGAACCTGTCAATTAAATAACCCATGTAAGTCAAAGATTCTTGCATGAAACTACATTTTTCTTTTTTTAATTGGAAGCCACATTCCGATAATTTTTGAAAGACTTGTTCTAATCGCTCCAAATGCTCATGATCGTTTCTCCGTCACCAGAATCTCATCTAGGAATGATATAACGCCAGGAATATTAAATAATTGCTTCATGATTATTTGGAAGATGGAGGGCGCGCAGTGTATGCCGAAAGGCAATCTTTGATAAGAAAACAACCCCTTATGTGTGGAGATGGTAACCAACTCTTTGGACTGATCGTCGAGCAAAATTTGCTGATACGCTTCTGAAAGGTCGATTTTTGAAAATTTCATTCGCCCCCCCCCCCCCCCATAGTTGGCTAAATAAGTATTCAATTCTTGGAAGAGGAAACTGTTGAAATGCCAATTGGAGGTTCAAGGTCACCTTAAAATCGCCGCAGATCCTTATACCGCCGTTTTTTTTTAATATTGGGACAATAGGTGTTGCCCACTTTGAAAATTCTGTGGGCACTAGCACCTTGTTTTTGACTAGCCGGTCCAGTTCTTGCTCAATTTTCGGTTTTAATGCTATTGGAACCGGCCGAGGCTTAAAAAATTTTGGGGTGGCGTTTTCTTTTAATTTTAGCGTGACCTTGAACTTATTGAATGTACCTAGCGTACTGCTGAATATTGGTTCGAATTTTTTTAATAAATTTTGCAACTTGGCGTCCGAATTTACATATAATAAACTGGTATTGCTATCGACCGATTTACAAAACCCGATATTTAGCATTTTCAGACCATTGCGACCTAATAAGGGTGGCCCGCCGTTCTTAATTACATATGTTTTTAGGTTGTAATTTTGACAATCATATGTTATTTTTAAGTTTACAAAACCCAAAGGTTGAAAAGACACACCGACATAATCTTTCAAATCATTACTGATTAACGGATATTTTTGAAAATGTTTGTTATACATTTTTTTCGAGATTGCCGCGTGGGCGAAACCGGAGTCCACAAAATTAAATTGCATTTTATCTATCTCTAATTTAATTAAAATAGGTTTTTCGTTACTTATTGAACTGCTATGGACATTTTCTGTTTTCTTATGAAACATATTTTGTACGGACGTCTGGGTGATGTTCGTGGGACCGTGCAAGGGTTTATCACTGATAATGAAGCACGGATCGTCGCTATCGTCCAAACCTTCGAGCGCGTTGTCTTTTAGAAAATTTTGACCCACGTTATTCTGCTTACACAAGGACGCTAAATGTCCTTTTACTCCGCATTTATGATAAAAACAATTGCGGTAGGCACACTCGGACGATTTGTGGTTGGAACGGCCACAAACTGAACAAGAATGGAAACTTGATGTTTTCGATCTTAGTTCCTTTTGGGGGGTCCTTGAATTTGACTTACCCCTGCTCCGATGAAAAATACCTGATTTTTGATTGTTATAAAACAGCTCTTCTGGTTCTCTCTTGATTTGTGTGGATGTATCCTTCGACGCGCGTTTTTCGTGGTCAAAAAATGCAGATTCCTTTGCCAATGCGATTTTTTCCATAAACTGGAAGGTGCTTGCTACTTTGAGGATTTTCCTCAAATAAGCGGTCACTAAAACGCACATCATTTAAGCCAACCGTGAATATATCCCTCATTAATCGGTCGAGAGTGATAGAGGCATCAAACAAACAAAAACTTGCTAAATTTTTTACGCGAGCCGCCCAATCACACACTTTTTCACTTGGCTCCTTTTTTGCTGTGTAAAATTTTGATCTTTCCGAAAAATACGAACGCACGGGAGAACAATGCTTTAATAACAACTTGTCTAACTCTTCAAACTTCAGCTCCGGCGGCGTTTTCGGCACGCACAAATTTCGTAACAAAACATTCTTCGTTTAATGTGTTTAGAAGCGTTGCCCGTTTTTTATCCTAATTCGTTATCTCATTCGCGGCGAAAAACTGTTGAAGTCTCTCGGAAAAAATTGCATTATCTGACTTTCCCGAGTCAAATGAACCGAGGTTCCCGAGAAAAGTCGACATTTTAAATAATATTTTGGTTCGAGTGCTGACTGCGCCACTGTTATGTGTTCATTTAACGTGAAATGAAACTCGACCACGATAATGCAACCGTTTACTCACAACTCCGTACAATACGCGGCCCGGCAAGTAACTGCCGTGGATAGCCCTAAGAAAACGTACCGCACCACGGTTTACAAAAAAAACCTAAACTAAACTGCGATACTGCGATATAAAAAACTCGCATATAGAACATAAACCATCTGAAGTAATGGCGCTGTAACATTACTTTCATTTACAAAATTCGTCTTTATATTATGTACACATTGGTGTGACCCTAATTTGTAAACGATTAATGATACAAGAGTCCGACTTACTGCGACATATTGTATGACAGCTTTCATATTTTTGCCTTTAGTTAAAGAAATTGATAGATATATTGACACCTACATCATTTTGCATCATTTTGACAAAATTCAGTATAGAATATATCTAGGACAGGGGAACAATGTGTTCTATTCAAAATAAGAAATTTCTTACTTGCAGGAATACTCCTGCATCGGTTTTTGTTGAGTCGAACTAGCTAACAATTCGCCAATCATCCTGTTGGCTCCTTTACAGCTTGACTAAAACTGGCTCGCATATATTGTTTGAGGGGGGCGGAGATAAATGAGGGGCATCGTCTCGGATGACTGATTCCCATATTGGTTGCAGGTAGAGACCTGAGTCGCGGTTAAGATTATCTGCAAGAATTTTAGTTTCGATAATAATCAATTCTTCACCAACGAAGAATCCGAGAGTCTATAGAAATCTATAAACCTAACAATCTTAATCGCGACTCAGGTCTCTACCTGTCACCAATATGGGAATCAGTGATCCGAGACGGTATCCATGCCCCTCATTTAGCTCCGCCTCCCTCAAACAATACAAAAGCGGGTAGAGAGTGAAATACGAACCAATTTCAGTCAAGCTCTGAAGAAGCCAACAGGATGATTGGCGAAACGTTAGCTAGTTCGACTTAACAAAAACCGACGCAGGAGTATTACAATAGCCTGTGGAAGTTTCTTTGAAAAATTAGGAAATTTCTTAGTTATCCACGTTAGAGATCTTAAGATAAGTTCTTATTCCGTAATAAAAGGGACTCCCGATACGATTTCTTGGCAGTAAAACAAACCACTGCTTTGTTCTCCGAAAATAAACAACTTTGCGTAACAAACAATATGCAAACTGTGTAAAACCGTTTCGGTTTCTCGTCAAAGTCGTATTATGATATTAAACGCTTTGTATTAAAACACATTGCTATGCTGAATTATCAAACTTCCAAAAACTAACCTTTGTAGACTTTTCCAAAACAGCCTTCTCCCAATTCGTTGAGAAACTTTAAAGTTTCTTTCCGTAACACTGGAATTCCTGCTCCGGAACACGCTGAGTATTGAGGATTGGGAGTGTATCTCTCAGCAATTAATAAGCTGTGCTTGAGGTTAATCGGTGATGTCTGAAACAAGCAACACACAGTTAGATTCTTTAATATTATACTAGTTGAAATCGAGATGATGATTTAATTTAATGCACACACCAAAAATAATGGGTTATTAATTGTCTCGTTTACAGAGCCGTAAAACTATCCCAACCCGAATCACTGAGCCTTGAATTAAAACACTATACATCCACTATTCTTTACAACAATTTCCACATTAGAGACATTAACCGCGCTACTACAAAATGCACCTCACCACAACATTCCCCGAAAGCAACCCCACAATTGTGACTGTGGTCCATCCCTACACATTCCAAAAGTTTCTCTTTAATTAAAATTTTCCGACCGGTTTTATTTTTTTGATTTAGCAAGATGGGTAATTCCATTAATGTATTAACACTTTGATTTAATGGCAATAAAAATCAATCATTAATTAAATTAAAAATATTAGCTGAATATGTTCTTGATCACTACTTGCGTGACATACATCATTTTAAATAGAAGAAAAGGCGAATTTATTAAAACCATAAAATATTGGCAGTTTTGTTTACAAAATTTTATCTAAATATATACAGCAATAAAATTTAAGAGATACAGTGAACAATCTTCATCAATCTTCGAAGAGCAAAACTTCAAAAAATATTAAAAGTTGGGCATCACCATGCCCTGAGATTTCAGAACCAGAACACTTAGATTACGATAATATTTCACTAGCAGGGCTTTAGAATCAATTTGTCAAATTGACAGGAAAATTTCAATTGATTTGATTTGATTGATCGAGAAAATCACGAAGTGGGCTGTGGGAAACGACGAGATTGACATTCAGTGTCATGCAGCCATATTGTAAATAAAAAAGAATATTCTGTATCAAAAGGTGTAAAATATAGAGATTAAATATGCAGATCATGTCAAAACGTTTTCACACCTTAATCATTAGCAGTGGTCGAGAGTCACAATATTAGTAGCATGAGATAAGGTATATCTATATCTTACCCAGTTTACAATAGCGAATTTTTGATATTTGTGTTATTTTTTTCATCTGCCTTCCAAATATTTAGGCCGTAACATTACACATATAGCGGATAATTATCTAATAATTTTCTAATAAAAAACTTCAAACTTGATATCAATTGTGCACAAATTTTGTTTGAATGCACATTTTCCACATTGCCAATCACAAATAATTTAGCTGCTAACGTTAATACAAGTTGGCTTTGAACAAAGAATTTCTAAACTCAATCAATTCAAAAATTCATTCTCAACTAAAAGTATAAACTTGGAAAACCTGTTGAGTCAAAACACAAAAAAAGCACAAGGTTTTTTTTAAATTCCGTCGATCGTCGGAAATAACTAAACTTCCTTAGAATATCCGAGAAATACGCCCACAAAACTGACAGCATTTCCATTCAGAATTTTCCAGGGTATTATATATCGTCATCACTACACAAAGTTCTCATTCACAAGTCGATTAAGTGCGGAAGCATCTGAGTCCAATTAATAAAGAGATTGAGTCATAAATGACGGAAAAATGTACGGGAACAGCATTTTACAATAATTTGTTATTTATTTATTTATGTTACTGTTCGAATAGCTATCTATTTAGGTACTAACTTAAATAACACGTATATTGCTAATTGCTGTTTAATTAGATCTGCAAAATCGCATCAATTATTATTTACGTTGTGAAAAAATGTCTCTTCTATCTCATAATACTTGCTCTGAATGTTCCAAGCCAGTAACAAATTATATTTCATGTAGCGTAGATAAATTTGTCATCGCTTTTCAATGATATATTGAAAAAAAAAGTTAACCAATTACAATGAACACAACTCCCTATGGCTAGATTGTCAATTAATTAGCCCTTGAAGGGTTTCAATTTCAATCGCATCGTAATCGTATCTTTATTTATTTAGCAAGCACAGTTATTCAGTAAACAGTATTAGTAAATGTGGTATACATACCGGAATTAAATTTATCAAGGACGGGCTAAAGGTGAATCAGTCAAAACTTTTAGATAGAGACTGCAAGTTAAACCGACTTACTTTGAAAATTTTCATCAAAGGTCTTGATTTTCCATTTCTATAACTATTTAATTTTATTTTGGATTCTGTATGTTTCTATAAACCTTTTTCCATAAACCATCCAAATGTGAAAAACTTAGCATTTTCATGAAATTTAAAAATTATTATTGTGATATTGCCCAAAAACGAGTTCTAATTTCATTTTTTTTTTAATTTATATTATTTTGTCAAATTCAGAATTTAGGTACCCCTATATTATTGCTAAATCCTAATCCTAAATAGTTTTCCAGAATTTTCAATTTTTCTACTAATAACATTTCCTAAAAACGGGTGAGCGCAATCAAAGATTTGGGCATTGACCACTATTTTTGAATGTTTCTCAGTAGTTTGGAACCTTCGCTTAAACAAATATATTACTCAAATGAAGAAAGCACAGGGAAAATTCATCAACACTCTTGATTTGAAGATCGCAGCAAATATCTGAATACCTCGAGTTCGCCAATTTTAAATGTGCCTAAATGCAAATCCTCAACAATCACTACAGGAAAATACATCCTCTATGACTTTTAAAATACGGTTGAAAAGTGCAATTTTTTAATAATTTTCTATCGTTTACTTGTCGGATCTAAAAACCAGAAAATGGTTGTTTGATATTAAAATTGCCACTTAAAATGATCAAAGTAACAAAACGGTCAGCTGTAAATCAAAAGTTTCTGAAACCGCTTCAAATTATAAACTTATCCTTTTTTTTTCATGTGTCTTGTTTATCTCACGAATTTTGTTTGGTGGGAAGAATTAAACAAGATAAAAGGAAAACAAACTTGAAAGTTTGTTGTTCATAAAACATAAGACTAGTTTTTACTACATCTGTAAATTAGTCCTTCTTGAAAATGGAATTTAAATTTCCCGCTCGCAATTCAGCTAGTAGCTCTCTAAAAAAACGTGAAGTCGCCAAATGAACTTTTTGCGTTTGGGCGGTTTAGTTGAATTACTAATTTTTAGTTAGTAGGTTGTACTATTTCAAGCTTAAAATTTTATACTTGCCGACTCTGTGGTCGAATATTACAGTTAAGCCTGACTATGCAATTTTAAAGGCAGTCAATTAATTTTTAAAAACGCCTTCTAAGAAACGATCCACTTCAAAGAGAGTTTGTGTTATTTCAAAACTCAATACCAGTGCTATACGTAACAATATTTATATGTATACTAAAATTTCATTTAACTTAACTTGTACCAACATTGTACTTTCAGTTAGGTACGGCTGATTTCATAAAAAAAAACTGATACGAGTCTTACGGCAAAGTTTGGAGCAGTGTATTATAGGCCACCATGTCATTTTCTGTAAACTTCATTGCTTTCAAATTTCTAATACTGTTAATCTTTAAAAAAATGTCACATATACGTTAGAAAATAAAAAGAAACCTAAAATGGTTCCACATACGAGCAGAGAGTTAAAAGCAAGAATAAAAAATCAGTAATTTTCATTAAGTAATCAGGCACGTTTCTAGAAAATGGTAAATCCTTATCAGCGGCAGCTCAACATTTTAATGTAAACAGAACAACCATTTTTTTCATTAATAAAAGGTGGAGACGAGAAGAAACAAGAAGGTTCAAGAAGATCAGACGCTTCTACGAAGGATCGAAGGTATCCCTTTCCAAAAATCAAGGAACAAAAGAATCTTGTCGGAATTTTCGGACAATAAAACCACAGTTTGTCGAAGAATTAAGATATCGCGTCTCAAGCGGCGGACTGCGGCAAAAAAGGCCGTCACTCCCCAACAGAAGCAAGCACGGCTTATTTTCGCTCTTAACTATCAAACGCAAGAACAGCAGTTTTGGGATAATTTTTCGATAAAAAGATCTAAGCGTAAAATTAAGGTGTTACAAGACCCGTAAATGTATGGGGATCGATTTAATCTAGAGTAATGGGAGTGGTATCGCGGATTGAGGGGAGATTTGTTGGTCAAACTTTTGCAGAAACATTGCAGAACGTTATGGTGCCTAGTCTGAAACAGCTTTACCCGGAAACTAATTATACAAGACAACTGTTCTCTCCACACTGCAAACATCGTTACACATTGGCTTCATAATACCAACACTGAAATCTTGCCATGGCCAAGTAACAGTCCCGATATCAACCCAATCGAAAATATACGGCGGTAATGGTACAACGGCTGTATCAAAGAAATTGTATGCCTCAAAACAGCGAGGAGCTATGGCAAAGTATTCCGGAAGTATGGCAAGAATTGTAGCTTGAAGAAACCTTCATTACTCCTTTCATGACCACAAAATATTAAATTTCTTCCAAGTGTTCCTTCTTGTCCTGTTTATGTTAAAATGTTGGGCTCTTGCTCATAAGGTTCAACCATCTTCTAAATTTGAACATTCACTTACATTATCCAAACAAAAACCACATACAAAATTACAATAATTAAAAATTAATAAAACAAGAGACTCGCATAACTTTTTCCTTCACTTTTGACCTAAAATTTGTCTATTACTGTATAATATTTTTAATGCCGTATATGCCCTTTGAAATATGCTTTTCAAATGTTTTTAATTCTTAGTTTGCTATCTAAAGAAATTCCCAAGTTCTTAGCATTATTAACGGAATTACGCACTGTGCCATCAATTAAAATATTTAAAGAGTTTTTGTTCCTATTCATCTTATTTTTATTACCAAAAAGTAATAACAAAGATTTTGTAGAGTGTAACTAAGATTATGACTTTTGGAGAGTTCACTCAAAGTTCGTAAATCGTGATTTATATTTTGTTCTACCTCCAAAACATTATCATCATCAAAACAATAATAAATTTGTGTATCGTCGGCAAACGCTTGAATTTTACAGAATGTTAATAATTTTAGAATGTCCTGTTTATGTTAAAATGTTGGGCTCTTGCTATTAAGGATCAACCATCTTCTAAATTTGTTAAAATTCTTACATTTACCTAAACGTAATTATTTTGAAGTTTATTTAAAAGTTAAAAATTATCTTTTTATTATGTGCAGGTAACAACTGCAATAACCTTTCTGTGGATTGACACTTAGACAATCTTCTTATAAAATCGTCACACTTTATTAATGTCGCTATGATGGATTTGGGAAATGAATTTCAAAAATACACTATTTAGCGCCCATTCAATTTATTTATCAAAAATTGAAATGTAGTCATTGATACCAGGTTAATAGGTTTGTTATTTGTTAATTTTCATTCGAGACTTATTAGCAGGCTATAAATAACATTAACTCCACAATAACATTAATTCCAACAATAAAAAATCAATAATTCGCATTCAGTTTTCAGGCATATTTCTATTATTTTGAATACCTGATCATGATCTTTTTCTAATATCATCAGATACACGAAGAATCTCCAAGCGATTATTCCTAATTACTGGTCTGGATTATCTACTTCTGTGGCATAAATTACACATTTTACCGCACAAATAACAAACGCATTTAAGTCAGAGATGACCAATTTACTGGCCACATGAATTTTCCAGTTTGCAAATTTTTTATCTAACCAGTTTCTTACATCTCCAAGCGAGTATGTATGGGAATATTCTCCAACAGTTCAGCCATATCATTTGTAAGGAAATTTAAGTAGACATTAATTAGCATTTAATCTATATCGCAAAACAAAAGGACGCAACGTATTAAGTACAACTGCCCAAACATTGTTATGTTAGAAAATACTATCCGATGCGATTGTCGCCATTGTGGAAGTCTTTCATGCTCCCGTATAGCGCCACGGTCTTACCATTACAACAATCTCAAATAAAATTAATATATGTTAATTGTCCGTTCGAAAAACGTTCCATAATAGGTACCTTCTTTCTCATAACAGAACACAGCATTTTGGATTTTATAAGGAAAAAGTGTTGTTACCTGTACCCCTCAACGGATACGTTTGGCATTTGGCATAAGGCATTATTTTGAAACTCGTTTCATTAAATGTTTACCTCTATATACCTTTTATGGCAGTATTCCTTTTTTTTCGCAGTCCGATCCTGCGCTACATTTTTTCATATTGTTCATCTACAGCTAGCGCAAAAATTTAGCAAATATTAGTTCATTTTTTTCCTTACCGCTTCTGTTCTCCTGTGCATTCTCGTTTTAATGTAAATTAAAATACAAACGAACAATGCTATGGAACCAGCCGCGAGGAGTAGGGATGGCACCATGAAATTCGAAAACGTAGATCGTTGTGTAGCTGCTAGCGATTCATCGACCTGAAACAACGAATAATAAACTGCGGGACAATAATATCTGTTTATATACCGGGTGTGCATTTTCAAAAGATTTTAAGGGGTACCTCGCTTATTAGTAAAGATATCCACTGAGCGCGATATACGGTGCTGTTTTTCCGAGAAACAAAAGATACCGCTTGCATCTCAGTTATTATCAAGCTTATTAGTTTGAAAGAAATAAACCAAATTTATGTATTTTTTAATGGATCTCCCCGAATTTGTCCAGAGCTTCTCAAAAATTTATAAAACTGTATGGTTGTTTCTAATACTAAGCCTAATATATAAGTTTTGAAAAAAATATACTCGTTTTTTTTTTTTGGTTGGCCAATAAACGACTTTTATTTCCGATGACAGCATAACAAACATACAATACAGATAACAATTAGTTGTACCTTCGACTGGCGCAGCTAGCTACGAATTTTTAAAACATGGTTATAACAAATGCATGAAAAAAAAACTGAAAAAAAAACAAAAAATCTCTACAGCAAATTCTGTACAGACCTCCGATGATGAGGTATTATTAGTTCCCTAGGCCTAAAATTTCTGTTATGAATTTCACGCCTAAACATTATTCGTTCCTAAATCGAGGGTGGAGTATAGGGATAGTTTATAGTCTTTATTAATAAAGTAAAGAAATGTAGTTTTCTACAAGCCTTCATCCTAAGCCACCCAATCTGTTTACAAACAGAAGAAATACAATCATACTTTCTTAAGCGCACACAATGATATTGAATTTTTTTAATTCAACATTCACTTACATTATCCAAACAAAAACCACATACAAAATTACAATAATTAAAAATTAATAAAACAAGAGACTAGCATAACTTTTTAATTAACTTTTGACCGAAAATTTGTTTATTACTGTATAATATTTTTAATGCCGTATATGTCCTATGAAATGTGCTTTTTAAATTTTTTTAATTCTTAGCTCGCTATCTAAAGAAATTCCCAAGTTCTTAGCATTATTAACGAAATTACACACTGTGCCATCAATTAAAATATTTAAAGAGCTTTTGTTCTTATTCATCTTATTTTTATTACCAGAAAGTAATAATAAAGATTTTGTAGGGTTTAACTAAGATTATGACTTTTGGAGAGTTCACTCAAAGTTCGTAAATCATGATTTATATTTTGTTCTACCTCCAAAACATCATCATCATCAAAACAATAATAAATTTGTGTATCGTCGGCAAACGCTTTTACGATTTACAGAATGTTAATAATTTTAGAATGTCCGAAGTATACACAATAAATAATAGAGTGTAAGGTGGGGGTTTGCGGGTACACGAAATTAAACAATTTATGTGTCACTACAACTATGTAATTCCGAACTCAAGTATACTATGGGTGGACAACGAAATATTCGAAATTAAACGCGTTTTCCGAGAGTCGCTGCATAACCCTTTGCGGTAGGGGTTCTACTACTTCTCCGCGGTTCGTCTGATGCACGGTAGCGCGGAGGGTCGCGGCGACGGGTACGTCTGGAACGTGCGGCGCCACACATGGGCGTGCGCTTTTAAAATGTTCGTTACAATCTCCCCCTTTGCACCACACTGTCGTCCCGAGTGTGGGGCAACACTTTAGTTACGTTGTTGAATCTTGCGAGGGCGACCACGTTTCCGAATTGGCCGAGTAGGAGCTGGTGGTTGTTCTTCATCGTCGACTGCACGGTATGGAGTCAACGCGGAGGCATGGTATTTACCAATCACAGTCTTCGGAGCACTTGGTAAAGCAACTTCGTAGGTAGTTGGGGTAACCACTTTGGTTATGATGTAGGGACCATCGCGCCGTGGCGAGAATTTTGAAGTGAAGTTCTTACTTGCGTTGCTCAATGCGTGAGAGTCTACGAACATTTTGTCACCGACAGTCATCGTCACTTCGCGGCACTTGTCATCGTGGTACTTGTTGCGCCGATCTTGAGTTTCTTCGTGAGTGTCGCGAGCTTCGCGCAGAGCTGCAGCAATGGTCTTAAGATAGGGTGTGATCTGCGGAATAAAGTTCGCATTTTGTACAATAGCACGGAGATCACGATTTGCGTCATCCGGAGTACGCAGTTCACGACCGAAAGTTAGGTAAGCCGGAGTGAAACCAGTGGAGTTACACTTAGCAGTGTTCATAGCAAAACGTACAGCAGGCAGTTTACTAGACCATACTGTATGATCGTCGTCAGTCAAGGTAGCAAGCTGTGTTTTCAAGTCGCGGTTTTTCCTTTCTACCGGGTTGGCAGACGGATGATATGCAGGTATTAGGGTTTGATGAAATCCTAAACACTCTGCTACATGCTGCATCACAGCACTCACAAATTGGGAGCTATTGTCGCTTTCCCACTCTGCGGGGAACACCGTAGCGAAGGACAATTTCGTCAAGTAGGCAGGTAGCACAGGCGACAGCGGTTGCAGCTTTGAGTGGGAACTGTTCCGTCCATCTATTGGCTACATCTTCGATGATGAAAACCCAACAGAATCCTTCAGGGGTAGTCGGCAGAGGACCGAGAAGATCGATAGCGAGGACTTCGAATCTTTGGGTCTGCACTGGTGCTTGTAGGAGTCCAGCAGGCATTAGATGTGACATTTTATATTTTTGGCACTTTAGGCACTTGCTGCCGTAATCGGCTATGTTTTTGCGCTTACCAGGTCAGTAATAGCGGAAGGCGACACCCTGGTGTGTATCTGTACAGAATACCATTATTCATAATGTATCCGCGTTCTGTCCATTTCTTGAAGTGGACACTGATATCATTAGGGTCTTCGAGACAAAGGATTATTTTCTCGATGTCAGGATCGGATAGTTGTTCAGTTCTAATGTCTGAAGCACTTAAGGTTGGAAAGTCCACTTCGATTAAGTTAATTTCGGATGACTCCTCGACGTCTTCGAATGGAGATCGAGATAGGGTGTCGGCACTAACGTTCTTCTTGCCTAGGATGTAGTCGATTCTAATGTCATAGGGCATTAGTTCTAAGTCCCAATGAGCTAGTCTTCCACTTGGCGATTTTAAGGTCATAAGCCACTTCAAGGCTTGATGATCACTTTGTACGTAAGTTGTACAACCTTCAAGATATCCTCTGAATTTCTTAAAAGCCCGAACAACGGCAAATGCTTCTCGTTCGGTTGTGTTGTAATTTTGTTCGGCTGGGGTAAGAAGGCGGGAAGCATACTCAACTGGCCGTTCGTTTTCACCCTCCCCCTGGAGTAAACATGCTCCGAGTGCGTAATACATATGGCAGGCGACTGTCAGCTTGCCGAAGAATTGGAGGTGAGCATAGAGCTTCCTTCAGGGTCGTAAAAGCTTCGTTTTGCTCTGAACTCCATGTCCATTTAACGTTTTTCTTTGTGAGGTTCGTAAGAGGTTTTGCCTTTTCAGCGAAGTTCTCAATAAATCGTCGAAACCATGAACAGGTTTGTATAAAACCTAAAAGTTGCTTAACGTTGTTCGGTTGTGCCAGGTTCATGATGGCTGCTATCTTTTCATCATCTGGTTGAATCCCTTCTTTCGAAAGAATGTGGCCTAGATAACAAACAGATTCGCAAGCAAAGGAGCATTTGGTTCTATTTAGTGTTAACTTGTACTGCGCAAGGCGGTTAAATACTTTTCTAAGTCCTTGTACGTGGTCTGTAAAAGTAGGTGACAAAATACAAATATTGTCGAGGTATGCCAGCATAGTAACATCTTGGATACCAGAGTTGCGCAAACCGAAAGGCATACGTTTGTAACGAAACATACCAAATGGGCAAATGAAGGCTGTCTTATCCCTATATGTGGGTTTGACGCTTATCAAATGATATCCGTTCCTAAGATCCAGAGTAGTTATATACCCTGTTTGCTTAGCGGCGTGAAGGAGGTCATCAATCCGTGGGATTGGGTATCTGTCTGGCTTGATAATGGCGTTCAGTGCTCGGTAGACGACCATAAGACGAACCTCTTTGTTCTTCTTCGGGACAAGTACGACGGGTGCGGGGTATGGTGAATCGCACTCTTCTATGTAATCACATTCAAGCAGTTTGTCCAATTCCTTGCGTAAGATTTCCTTTTTCGGTTCTGACATCCTATACGGTGGTACCGAGATAGGTGTGTCATCTAGTAAGGTGATATTGTGTTCAGCATAAGGAGTCGGTTCATCAGAAGGCAGGAAAAGTTCAGACTATTCACAAAGTAGGGAGTTAATTGTGTTCCGCTCTTCTTCATTGAGTGTACGTCCTTCATCATCACGTAGAGTGAGATTTTCATGCTGCACAGTATTAATTAGACAGAAGCTGTCAAAATCGGTGTCAAAAGAGAATGACGAGTGGGAATCTTCTCCGAAGTGATATCGATTTTGTGGTACATCGATGACAAGGTTGGCCGATGTTATGAAATCAACTCCAAGTAGCGTTCGACTACTTTTATGTTCAGGCACTGAAATGAATTTAGTGGGAATGGTTTTGTCTTGCAAAACAACATCGACATTGAATACCATGGCATCCACTTCTCGCTGAACACCGTCTGCTTAAGTCATAAGCATATTTTCGGTGATATAAGGTATACAATCTTTCAGTAAAAGTTGTGATAAAAGCGATCCGGCAACGCTGCATTTGGCACCTGTATCGAGGAACGCGTATCCTTTGTGATTGTTCACAGTGGTAGGTACTAGAGGGCGTACCTGTGTATTGTCTGTACCTTTGTCAATCGAATTAAAAAGAAATTCAGCACTGTTGGCGTTTGTTTGTTTAGGTTTGCTCTCGAGTTTGCACTTGAGGCAATTACTTTTGACGTAACCGGGCGCACCACAACCGTAACACGAGATACCAGAGGAAGTACTTTCGGGCGGCTTCGTTGGGTTAGCCTTTACCGTAGGTGTCTTATTTTCCTCAGCCTGTTTTGTTTTAGTCGCTAGTTTGCGACACTCGTCAACCGCATGTCCCGTATATTTGCAATACGAACAGCGAAGTTTCTTGAGGGAGTTTGTTTCGTTTGGCGCTTTTGAGTCACTAAAAATTTCGAA